GTCTGTGAGTGACAGTGTGTGTGTCTGTGAGTGACAGTGTGTGTGTGTCTGTGAGTGACAGTGTGTGTGTGTGTGTCTGTGAGTGACAGTGTGTGTCTGTGTCTGTGAGTGACAGTGTGTGTGTCTGTGAGTGACAGTGTGTGTCTGTGTGTGTGTGTCTGTGAGTGACAGTGTGAGTGACAGTGTGTGTCTGTGAGTGACTGTGTGTGTGTGTCTGTGAGTGACAGTGTGTGTGTCTGTGAGTGACAGTGTGTGTGTGTCTGTGAGTGACAGGGTGTGTGTCTGTGAGTGACTGTGTGTGTCTGTGAGTGACAGGGTGTGTGTCTGTGAGTGACTGTGTGTGTGTGTGTGTGTCTGTGAGTGACAGTGTGTGTGTGTCTGTGAGTGACAGAGTGTGTGTGTCTGTGAGCGACAGTGTGTGTGAGTGACAGTGTGTGTGTGACAATGTGTGTGTCTGTGAGTGACAGTGTGTGTGAGTGACAAAGTGTGTGCGTCTGTGAGTGACAGTGTGTGTGAGTGACAAAGTGTGTGCGTCTGTGAGTGACAGTGTGTGTGAGTGACAAAGTGTGTACGTCTGTGAGTGACAGTGTGTGTGAGTGACAAAGTGTGTACGTCTGTGAGTGTAAGTGACAAAGTGTGTGTAAGTGACAAAGTGTGTGTGTCTGTGAGTGACAGTGTGTGTGTCTGTGAGTGATTGTATGAGTGTGTGTGCGAGTGTATGAGTGTGTCTGTCTGTCAAATCAGTGAGAGTATGTTTGTCATTGAGTCTGTGTGTGACTATCAGTGTGTCTGTCAATGAGTGTCAATCAGTGTGGGTCTGTCAGTGTCAATGAATGAGTGTGTGTCAGATCAATGAGTCTGTGTCTGTCAGTGACGTCTGTGTGTTTGTCATTGAGTGTGTGACTGTCAGTGTGTACAGAGTGTAGCGGAGCAGAGCGCGGTACAGGAACTTCTGTTTCCTGTACCTGGCCAGACTGACAGGAGGTGCTCACAGAGAGAGCACTCCCTGTCAGTCCGGCCGGGTACAGAAAACTGAAGCTCCTTTAGGGGATCTGCTCCACTCGGCAATGCAACAATAGAGGTAGGAGGCACACCAGGAAGGGGAGTGTGACCACTAAAGGGGTGTGGGGTGCACCAAGGGACAGGGAGGGAATGGGAGAGAAACACCAAGAGACAGGGAAAAGAGGGGGGAGGGGAGAAGAACACTAAGGGACAGGGAAGGGAAGGGACTACTAATGGTCAGGGAGGGGAGAGGGGCTGGTTAAGAGGCACATAGGTGAAGATGTTTTTTTTCGGGGGGGGGTCCGGGGGGGCGGAAAAAGGCATCTTCGCCTATGTACCTAAAAATCCAAGCACCGGCCCTGCTAATGGAAATGCTTACTGTGGTGGTATTGGTGGTGGAGATGATAACAATGACATAGGGAGAGCTACTTATGCCAGTGGTAGCAGATGTAGCTGTCTCTGTTGGATGAGGCAATTCAAAAGCAGAGAGATGTGGACTTTGACAAGGATGAGAAGATACAGGAGGCAATTTGTCACTAGCCGCCAGAGAAAATAGTGGACTGCTGCATGTCATCCACAGGCTCTCCTCTTGTAATTACTCTGCATCACAATCAAGTAGCTCCTAGGCCAGGGGTAAAAGAGCTATGTCAGAAGTGGTGGGGGAAGCAGCAATATCATCACCAGATTTATCACTGCCACCACAACCAATACCAGACCTTTAGAACACTACTTTAGGACTCTGCTCTACCTCATTAGTAAAGAATGGCTCTGATGTGCCCTCACAAAGTATGATCTGCTGAGATAACTGTTAGTTGCTCATTGGGTGGACTACAAGAATGTATATTGCTTTATTGGAAAGTTATGCTTTATCTATCTTTGTTAACCTCTAAAATATCTAAGTTGAGAAAATCATGTGAATCACAAGAACCCTCGCCTGCTTTGGTTAAAAGAACAATAATATCATTAATTTTATTTATTAGTTGTGAGGTACATTTCATTCACTAACTATACTTTACATAATTATTTCTACAATAAATATATATCAATATATGCTTGCATCAATATTTTAAGGAATATTTATTTTACGTAACTGTACATTAATCAAGATAAACTTTAACGGAGTCACCATCATAACACATTTGAAGGCACACATGACTCGCTTGAAAAATATAAGGCTCATCCAATTGAATTTCAGTTTGTAGTCTCCCTACTGTAGTTCTGTGTTTATTTCATACATATAAACTATGTTGTAGATCAGTGTTCTCCAACCCAGTCGTCATGGAACACCAACAGTCCAGGTTTTATCAGTATCTCCATTGGAATAAAAAAGGGAAATACATAAATCCTGGACTCTTGGTGGTCCACGAGGACTAGGCTGAAGAACACTGGTATAAATAACATTGTAACAATTGTTATGTTCTATATATTTTTTCATGTGTTGGGGATAATTATATGTGTAAACATAAAACCGTTTTTTTTTTAATCAGAATTGTCACACACAATCTGAGGGCATGCTGTGTACTCTTGTTTTGTGTGAAGAAAACTATTTATACTTCTTTATAGTCAAAATCTTATGTAGACTTTAGGATGATATTAATTTTCACATTTGTCACCAACTATATTTTCCCCACTTGCAAATCGTTTACGGTGGATTTAATAAAGACGAAACCTACCGTATTTCACCGCATAATGGTCCCAGATTTTATGCCTAATTCCTTTCCGTAAAAATGGGGGTTCAACCATTTTGTGAAGCTTTATTTTTTTGCAATAATATATATGCAAAGCTTTATTTTTTTAATAGTTTTTTTCACACTTTGACAGCACATTAGAGATAGAGAAATGTACACATTGAGCCTTGCAATTTTCAAACTTTGCCTGCACCACAACTATATTCTCGACAGCAACAAATTTAAATCCAAAGATCTATACAGAATGCCCCAGGTAAGATTATTCCCTGGCTAAGTAAGACCCATATCTTTGGTCTTCATTGCATATGAAATTTCCTACCCCAACACCATTATATTACAGGAAGGTAGCTTTACTTTAGAATACATATGGCTGCACTAGCATGAGTGCCATGTGTTACAAAGATGTACAAAAGCAAAGCTAAACCGCCATAAAACAAAAGTTAAGATCTTTTATTGTAGCAGTCAAACCAGTACAAACAAGCACCAATAAATAACATTTTACAAAAAAACCTTAGCTGTCTTGTTGTAATGTTACAGATCTCTAGTGCATGTGGGTTTTACATTAAACGAAAAGTTGTTCCTGTAAAATGTACAGATATAAAGCACATTCTCTACAATTTAAAGTCAACCATGTCACTTAAGCTATAAAATGTCTGGAAAGGGATTTATGCAGATTCTTTAACTTCTGTGGATTCTCCATTTTCTGTTTTTTGCTTTTTAGCTTCAGTTTTTGTTTCAGATTCTTCCTCATCCTCTGCTGGGCACTTTACAGGATGACCATCTTTTTCAGTCTCTTCTGCTTCACCTTTCTCCTCCTCTTCTTCATCTTCACCCTCTCCTTCTCCCTCACCCTCTTCATCCTCCACTTCAGGGTCTTGTGTGTTTTCCTCACTGTGGTCTACACTATTTTCCTCAGTTCAATTGGATGGAGCATCTCCATTTCCATTCTCACCCTTCTCTACTTTCTCTTCTACAACTTCTTTCTTTTCCTTCAGATCCTTGTCAACGGGGACCTCGGTGCTGGTGGTGTCAACGATATCTGCCATCTTCATAAGAGAAAGAGAGGTTTTCTAGAGATGGAGAATGGAATAAAGGGGGACCCGTCTGGAGGGGAGAGAGAATAATACACAGTAGCCTACGAGGAGAATGGAGAATGCAGACAGACGGTGTGGAGAGGAATGAACCTTTTAGCAGTTTTTGTAACAGTTGCTGGTAACATTATAGTTGCTAATAACATAACAGCATATTTTCTAATGCATTACGTAAACTCTGATCATGATCTCTGTCATTTCTTAATGCATTACATAGATAATATGCTGTAAAATACAATAAACTAATAGGTAATAATAAACCCTCTCTTCAGTATAAGATCAGTGAGATGTTCGCCATTAGTTTTTCAAAAAAACTGAATGTCTCACAACAAAATCAGCAATAGTCAATTATGCGACTATTACGTGATGAATTGAGTTTGAACCAATTTTTGTACTGAAAAACCAGGGTGCAACTATTATGCAGTGGTGACAATAATGCTTTGAAATACGGTATTTAAGGATGCTTTATATATAATGGTAACAATACTCCCCAAACTATAATTAAATACTTAAGTGAGGTCTCCTGTATGAATTTTACATAAAACATAATGGCAAAGTTAATTTATATATATTTATATATTTTTAAAGATGCTTATATTGTTTCACCCTTACTGTATGTTTAATTCCTCATGATGAAGATTCTCAGCTTTGCTTAATAATAACAAATACGACAAATCAGCACTATATCTCTTGTTTCACTTGCTTTGATATAAAATGTTCTTTTCTAAAGGTGTAGGTCAAGAAATAAGCACTAGCAATTAGGGGAATGAGGGCTTTTAGTTAAGGAGATACACTAGTCAAACTGAGTTTGCTCACATTAAAAATGAAGTGCCTGGGGGCGAAGTCTGACCGATAGCTGAACAGACGTGCGGGAAAAGAGCTCCTGCCGGGCGGGCAGAATAAACGGCAATATTGACGGCTACTCAGCCCAAAGACACGCTGGGGTGCGCTACCCACGCTGAGGGTGCACCACAGAATCAACAGATACCTTTTTGGAGCCTGTCGGAGCCCAGAACCCGAAACGCAACCTGCGGCCTACAGAAGTGGGGGCCGGGGAGTGGCCGCTCTCTTCGGCACCAGATTCCCCCCAGAAGCATTCCTGATCCCCGGACTGGCGGGGGTTATCCCAGTCCCCACTAACCAAGCGGACGAACACAGAAAGCGAATGACCGCGGCTACACAGCCAGCAGGGGCACCAGCCTGCAGGGGCACACCCAAGATGGCCGCCCAGCAGGGGCCAAAGAGAGGGAACACTGGCAACCATACACATGCTCACCCCTTGGAAGCTCTAGACCATCTCTGCTCGAGCATTCACATGATCTGTGACAGGGGAGTGTCCTACCTTCAAGCAGCTCAAATTGTGGCCTCGTGGATCCGTCCGGTGACCTGCAGGCCTTCGGGGCAGCCGTCCAACCAAGCATGCAATGGCAACCGCAAGGGCGGGAAACCTCGGGCGCCAGCACCCGCGCTCCCACAAACCAGAGCGGGATCCGCCAACATGCACAACCTGCTCCGAACACAATGGCCCCGACAACCTCCGACCAGCAGGGCGCACCCCAACACAGGAGAACTCGGGATGCCTGCCACGAGGATGACCGACATATAGCAAAGCGGGCTACCAGAAAGCATAACAGGCAGAAAACCCCGACAAGGATCACCGCAGACGGAGCTTTGATGGGGCACCAGTCCTACCCTCACCATCGGCGCACCTGGCAAGCCTCCATATACCTTCACTACCGGGGTTTCCGTTTCCCAGACATGGGAGTCGGCTGACTGTGATCGGGACACTGACCAATACAGCTCCCGGCTAACCTGCAAATTACAAGCCTGGGAGATGACCACTCAAGACAGGGGCTGAGGCGCAGGCACTCTGGTGGTCTTGAAACTTTTTATGTTGCCTAGGTACCCTTTTACAAGCAGAGAATGCCATAGCTACCCGTTTATTTTAAAATCGCGGACTATATATTATATGTCCCAAGGTTGATGCCTAAGTTTCCCCACCTTTCTTTTGGTCTCACATAAGTTGTCTTACTAATTGTTAACCTATCTGATTGCATTCACCATTATTTTTATATAAATTTAATTAGTTATGTGCTGCCTTATAGCGGCCTACATATTGTTCTAATGCTGCCAGGGAGGCGCAGGCCTGATGGGATAACAACTGACCCCCTTTTTATTTTATAACTTAGCCTGGAACACTCCTGACCAGCATAATAGCTACCTGACGATACATTAACAACCACTGCACACACCACGCAGATTAAGCTCCCCTATTACCATCAACATATGAATGCAAGTTAGTGGGTCCTAACCTAATGCCTAGTTAGCTGTTACACAGCATAATACTCTTTTGGCCAGATAGCACAACAAATCTACTCACTGTTACGAGCAAAACTCGGCCATGAGACCCTTTATTGTTTTTTACTCGAATCACTCTTATAGAAGATTGTTTAGAACTAGCATGTTTACGCATTGTGCATCCCAGCATAGCATTTAGCTTAACTTTATTCATACACTTAGTAGATATGCACTCAGACTGAATACAATAGCGATACACAGTATAATGTTAACTAAGCTTGTTTGCTACCATGTTAATACTCAACTACCTTTAAACACAAAATTTGTGCTAGATATTGCATGTACCCCTCTGTTAAACTGTCTACAATGCGTTGGAGGAATGCCATTGGGGTACCTCACAACCGACTGTTAAAAGCTTATGCACAACAAAAATAAAGAAATAAAAAAAAAAAAAAATGAAGTGCCTATGGGGATTATGACTAAATACAAATCTATAGTCAAAGGTCAGTGGAAAAAAGGAGGACACACATTAAAGTGCATACCATAATTCCATGTCGATTCTTAAAATTCTTTTCAGCACGGTTAGTTTTTTTTTCATGCTATAACGTATGTGTATGTAATATGGAAATCTGTAATTTACCTCATTATTGCTGGGAGTCATATGAAATAAAATCAGTTTTATAATACATTAAATATATAAGAACATCTACACACAAAGTATTACCCTTTTCCACAATAATGTTGTAGATAAAAAAGAATCCTCCATGTCTTCATTAAAACAGTATAGCCCCAAAAAATCTTCAATAAAAATGTCACAAATAGTGTAATACAATAACACACCATGTAGTTGTCAGGCCCCCTCTCCTCTGCATCATTGCAGAGTCCCACATGGTCCCACGCCGCGTTTGCCTCTCTCCTCACGGACACACCATGCCAGATCTCCTCCGCCACATCACAGCCGGCCGGATCTCCACCAACAATTGGCCACAGTATTGAAGGCACAAGTGGCCCAACATCCCAAGCTTGGCACCGTGGATGTGCTTTGAACTCCATTTCCTCTTGGTGGAGGGGCGGAGAAACAAGAGTGACCTAGGGCACATGTATGCCGAATCAACGCCTTCTTAAAGGTTGTGCTCCTGTCCAAATGCAATAAAGCATCACACATGGACTCATGAACTGCTTTAGCCAATTTGTTTACCTTTGCCCAGGGAGGGGGGGCATGTCCTTCAACCAACATCAGTACCATAACTGTCCTAGCACCCCCCTCATGGTAAGGAGTCAAACCATTTTTTAATGGTTTGACTTCTTAACTGGGATTTGCTGGGCACCACTACTATCACTGGAGAGTCAAAGACTGGATCACTCTCATACATCGAGCTAAGCCCTGCATTGCCCTCCTTAGGAGATTCCATGGTAGCAGAGGCAGAGAGTGGCACCTGGTGGCTCCCAGGTAATCAGTCAAATTGTTAAAAAAATTGTTTACTTCTTACAATGAGGTAGCACTCCTGGCAAAGTTAAAAGGACTTATGGTGCATGGAGTGTTCTTGTAACAGTTCGACAGGTTGTAAGTTCTCCTCTGATATCTTTTAGCAACAAATTATTTTTATTACCATTAATGTTAAATAGTCATAACTATTATAACTATTATTATTTTGTATTATCATTATTATCATTATAATTATTATTATTTTTATTATTATTATGATTATTATTAGCATATATATTGCACCACCATATTCCACAGTGCATTACAATACTAGAATGGGGATATCTGACAAAAAAACTATTGACATATAAAAATTAGCAGAGAGAAGAAGTAAGAAGGGCCTGTTCAAATAAACTTAGAATATATCGGTTGCATGTAAGAATTCCAAGGATTAGTAGTTTCTAGAACCTCAGTATCTGATATCAACAAACATGCCATGGTCAACGATCTTATTCTTCGATCAAGTGAACTTCCCAAACTAATATTTATACTGAAATCTGTTTTACATATTGAGTAAAATTATTTCTATTTTAAAGATTTGCATTAACAGACAGGTCTACCTAATGAGTTGGCCCCTGTGTAAATACTAATGCAAGTTAAGCTGTGTGTCTCTGCATATACTTATGTTAGGCACCTGTATATGCACCATCATAAAGAACAGCATATATTATAGGAGAATAACATATGAGAAAGGACCTGATAAATTACTTCACACCAGGGCCAGACTGGGAAAAATAATTCGGCACGGGCATTTCTACACAGCGGCCCACTGAGAAGGGGGCAGGGCCAGAGAGGGAGTGTTTTGACAGTCAATTCTCTTCCAGGGCAGCCCATATGCAAAGCCCTGCTAAAGAGCTCTCGCATGAGAAAAAAGCCCTGTATTTGTTCTATGCAGCACAAAAAAATGTATTAACATTCTTGTGCTGTGTTTGCTAGTGACTTGTCTCTGGTGTCTCCATAAGTGGAATACCAGAGGATGAAAGGGCCAGGAAATCGTACTGTGCATGTATTTGGAGCCTGCTTCTAGGAATGTGTGTGTGTAGAGTGAGTTGATAGTGGTGTGATGTTTTGTGCAAATGTCAGTTTCAGTTGTGTTGTGTTTGTAGTGTAATATATGTGGCTAAGGACTGTAGACTGTGAGAGAGTGTGTGTATATGGAATGTATTTAGTGCGTGCATAGGGGCTGTAGTTTAAGTGTGTATAGATGATATAGTGTGTGTTTGCTTACAAGTGATCAAGTGTGTGCATAGGAGAACCAGAGTGTGTATGTCAGACAGGAATGTAGGAGGTTTAGTGTGTGCATATTGGGGATCTATTGAGTTTGTGTGGAAGTCACAGAGTGTGCAGAGGAGATTTAGCATGTGTTTAAAGATTCTAGTGTGTGTATGTGTGTGTATAGATGATCTAGAGTTGTGTACAGGATTTAATGTGTGTGTACATGGGATCTAGTGTGTTTCTGTAATGTAATGTGTGAAGGAGTGCAGTATGTGTGTGTGTATGAGGGGAGCAGTGTGTGTGGGTGTGTGTTTGTGAGGGGCACAGTATGTGTGTGTGAGGGGTGCAGTGTGTGAGGAGCACAGTGTGTGTGAGGCGTGTGGTGTGTGTGAGAGGTGCAGTGTGTGTGTGTGTGTGGAGTACAGTGTGTGGGGGGGTGTAGTGTGTGTGTGATGGGTGTAGTGTGTGAAAAGGCTTCCAGTGTGTGTGTGTGTGTGTGTGTGTGGTGCAGTATGTGTGAGGGGTGCACTGTGTGTATGAGGGAACAATGTGTGTTGGGCGCAGTGTGTATGTATGGGGTGCAGTGTAATTGAAAAGGTGCAGTGTGTGTGTTTGGGTTGCAGTGGGGTCAGATTAAAGCAAATAATATATATATATGTGTGTGTGTGTATTTTTATTTTAATAAAAAATATGTAGTTGATATCTCCCCTCTTTTCTTACCTTTTCCCAGGGAGAGAGGGCATGTCTTGCAATCCCTGGTGATCCTGATGGGGAGTGAACTCTAGCCTGAGGCTCCTCCAGCTAGAATTCACTCTCTCAAGATCAGAGCGTTGTAATGGTAACCACGGCAATGCTCCAACCTCGCGAGAGGAGAATTTGGCAGAGCTGCAGGCTCCCCAGGGTCCTTTCTATCTTTTCCCTCCCCTGCCGTTGGCCTATTTTAATGCATGTGGGACAGTGAGAGAGATCTTTAACCTCACCGCCAGACAACAAAGGCTCACAGTAAGGCTGGCACATGGATAGCACTAGCCCTGCAGGGGCATGGCCCATGGCCATCGCGGACCACTGGGTATTTGCCCGTTTTGCCCAATGGCCAGTCCGGGCCTGCTCCACACCTTCCTCCACTTCCTGGCTGATGTAGGAGAAGGTTCCTGATTGCCATTGTATGGCCAGTGAGACCTTACCTTATGCCTTGTTCTTTCACAGGTGGAATTTATGCCTGGGGATATACAATATCATCACATAGTAAATACCTAATGGTGATGCAATATTTAACTTGTAACTTGTAGAGCAGTTTTTCTCCTGTTGAAGGTATTTTTCTGCTGGCAAAGGGGCAGAGATTTATCAGTTAGTGAATATAAAAGTAGCAAGAAATGTTTAGTGACAGTTTCTAATAAATCATTCTGTAAATGAAGAATTTGTGTAGTAGAGACTGTAAAGTTGTCACCTTTGGTCTCTATTGTGTGCATAGCATGGAGTGACGTAGCGATTAAGTGATAGAATAACATCTAACTGTGTGCGCACACACATGCATTTATTAAAGTACCATTTTCCTTTAAACTTTGGAAATGTAATATTCCTTTGAGTGCATCATTATTTGCTCTAAT